ATGAGCTTACATTGGTTATAGAACTTTTGGAAAACCTGTGACTACTGGACAGCTGTTTTGCCCTAGTTTGAGACTCTTCATCGGTACGCACCCATGGGCGTTCGAGCATAGGACCTTCTCGTTACAAGGCGAGCTCGTGCACCATTAAGCCAACGGGACCCAACCAATGGCCCATGAATTCTAACTTATGCCAATTCACGACATAGTTCAGTTCACTTTTTCAGTTCATTTTCGATTTCTGATCTACCTGCGAATTTACATAATTCCAAGGCTTGAAGATTCATCAGTTCAATAAAACCACTGTGGACAGTAAAGGTACCTGGTGTAAGACTTCCTGTACAACTCCGATCTTCCTTAATAAACTTAATTTTGTAAATATATTTTACTTATGATTAAACCAACTGCCCGCCTTATTCTACACATCTGTTCAACCATTAGATAACTGACCGCTCACAGTTTGCAAGATGAAAGATGGTGATATGAATGGAATTATCATCACTATGCAAACATCATATAAACAGCCAAAGTGATAAAATCAGAATAATTGATAGCAACTGGAAATTTCCGTATTATGTTGAGTATTTAAAACTGATACAACTGACATAATAGAAAAGAATAGAGGATATGACAGCTACCTCGTCCTAGCACAGTACCCTTCTACAACATGCTTATTACAAACAACAGTTGAGGCGACATCTGAGAATTTGTAACAGGCAAGCATCAACATCGAAACCAAAGATTTATTCATGTATTAAATAATCTGCTGAATAATAATAATAATAATAATAACGATCTACTTTATTCCAAAAACAGTACTTGTGATACATAATGGAATTTTCAGCATTAATCACAATATGGCATCTAATTTCCCCAAGTTATAAATAAAATTAATCACACAGAAAAACTTCCACATTCACAATAGGGGAATGTCAAAAACATGCAGCATATATAATGGAAATAATAATAATGATAATAGCTAAGGTAATAATAATAATAATACAAATGAAAATTGCCGTGGGCTTGTTTCACACAGTATTGTCGATGCGGTATACAAATCCTAGCATGATTAAAAATATTGAATATGATGTTCTCTTTACATGATATGGTGAGGGGAGAAACAAAAATTACCGCAGTCATAGGGAGAAGTTGGTGTTCGCAATTATTAAAGTAAAACAAAGAAGCAACAGGACCATAAATATAACAGAAATAATGAAAGTAAAACTTGAAGGTATATAAGGATGGATGGAGGAGATTGTTTATTTACTAGATGAAAAAAGGTTAGTCAATTCTTGCCTGACGCTATTTTCATCACATAAAATACGTGCCAAGTATGGTATCACAGAATTTTTATACCTAGACATGTGAGCATACAGTTTTCTGAAGTTACTTCTTGTTCTACCTGAGGATATGCAAGGTGAAAGCTGAGGGTGAAGTGGAAGCTCCAAGTCAGACAAAATCCCTTTAGCAAATTTACTGCACGAAGTCAAGTACCTATCGACAACGACGTTAACTATGTAGTCCACTGGGACTACTGATATCAAAACTCCGAAAGAACAATAGCTAAAACATTTTAAGTCGCAAAACACTATGTTCAGAATTCATCACTCGTTATATGATTCGAATAGAGGTGGAGGATATGCCACCAAGTCTGGCCACTTCATTGTGCATTTACAATTTTAACTGTTCTTGTGGAGATAGTTACACTGTCGCCTTCTTGAACAATGTCTTAAGTGGTTAGGTATAGAATTCAACAAGTCAATCAGAAGTTCCATAATGACACACCTTGTGGATACAGGTCAGAAATAGATAAAAATTCCATCTTTACAAGGCGCCACCTCAATTCCCTAAGTTTGTATGTATTTGATTCTTAAGCATTTTGCTGAGACAGTCTTCATAATAAACATTTTAGCCCTGTCTTTGTTCTCAGAAAAGTTTATTTAATCCTGTTCCCTCCCATGATCTTCAACCCTGACCTAGAATAGTTATCCCGATGGCATTGGATAATTGTAGACATTATTTTTAGTTGCACTGCCAACTGCATTATCAATATCATAGTGTGCTGTAGGTACATATTTAATCATAGTTTCAAAATTTATTATTATTACTCTATTTACATTCACCTGCATTATATTTGATTCTACTGATTCCCATTGTTTCAAATGTGCATGACAGATATTTAATTATGTAACTGTGAAGCATGATGAGAATTTACTGAAAATGCATATTTGTTTCCTTTAATTGTATTCTAAAATAATCTTGATGTGTACTTTTTTAAAATTATTTCAATAATTATCACTCAGCGAGGCGTTTGGAGTAAACACAGGAGTGAAACAAGGCTGCTTATTATCACCAATGATATTCCTAATTGTGGTGGACTGGATTATGCGTCAGACAGTGGGAAACGAGAAGACCTGGATTTCGCGGATGATTTATGTTTGATGTCACACAAAATCGAAGACTTACAAGCGAAAACCGACAAACTGGTCGAAGAAGCAGCCAGAGAAGACAGGACTGCAGGTGAACATAGACAAGACGGAGGTTATGAAAATAACCAACCAACAACAACAACAGCAGCAGCAACATCCAGCGACAATCACCATCAATGGGAGGGATTTGAAAGAGGTTACTTCATTCACTCATCTAGGGAGCATTGCCTCAACTACAGCAGGAACGGATGAGGATGTCAAATCGAGAATCGGGAAGGCGAGAAACACATTCATCCACCTGAAACCAATCTGGAAATCTTCGTCACTCAGCCTGCATCAACAACAAAATGATTCGGATTTTCAATACAAACGTCAAGTCAGTCAGTTCTTCTATACGGATGGATCAGAAACTTGGCGGGTCACAAAGAATATTTCCAACAGCCTGTTGCAGACCTTTATCAACAACTGTCTTCGTTCTATACTACTGAAGATCAGATGGCTGGAAAGAACAAGAACCAACAAGAAACTATGGGAACAAACAAAACAAGAACCAGTCACTCAACAAATATGCAGGAGAAAGTGGAGATGGATTGGACACTCGCTAAGGAGGCCGTTGGGTGACATCGCGTCAGGCCATAGCTTGAGTGGAACTCGAAAGGGAAGCGGCGAGTGGGACGTCGAAGGGTGACATGGAGGAGATCGTGTGAAGAGGAGTTGAAACAGTATGGATTAACATGGATGCAGGTGAAAAGTACAGCAGGAGAAAGAAGCAAGTGGAGACGTGTAGTTGAAGCCCTATGTTCTACTAGGAACCCAAGGGAACAATAATAATAATATGCGAATTTAAGACATAACATATTACTAATTTCCATAGTAAAAGCCGATATCTTGAGTGCAGTCAAGCTACTCGAGTTCGAGAAAGCAGATGAATCGAATTCCATCTGAAGCATTGAAAACGGTCACATAGACCACAGCAGATGTGCTGACATCATTATTGCAAAATGCTTGGGAAGAAGAAAAGGTGCATACCGATTGGAAGAAAGGCTATTTTGTCAGGCTGCCAAAGAAGGGTTACTTTGGCTTCTACAAGAACTGGCGCAGAATCACACTCTATTCCACGCCAAATGAAATACTAAGTTGTGTCATCCTGAAGAGAATAAAAGATGTACCGAATACAGAACTCCGCCAGCCCGAAACAAGCTGGATTCAGGGAGGGCAAATCATGGGATGACCAGATTGTAATTCTCCACATCATTTTCGAACAGAGAATAGAATGGCAGCTAAACCTCTACCTCAGCTTCATCGATTTCGGGAAGGCTTTTGACAGTACTGACCACAAAGCAATCTGTTAATCACTTCAACACTATGGTGTTCAGTCCCCCAAATTTTTATCAACCTTATTCTACAGCTATTTGACAGTGCCACGTGTCAGGTGACCCACAAAGGAAAATTCAGTGGGGCGTTTGAAGTGAAGGCAGTAGTAAGACAAGGCTGCTTACTCTCACCGATGATATTATCAACTGTGGTAGGCTGGATGATGCGGAAGACTGCGACTTGGGAGTGAGAAGATAGGAATACTTTAGACCGATAAGAAGAGTCTAGAAGATCTGGATTTCGCGCGTGGATGAAATATGTCTAACGTCATACAAACTCGAAAACTTGCAGGCGAAAATCAACTAGTTGAGCGAAGAAGCAACTAAAACAGGACTTCAAGTGAGCAGAGAGAAGAAGGAGGTGATGAAGACAACCAACTAACAATAACAACAACAACCAGCACCAATCGCTGGAAGGAAGTACGGTTTCAACCACAGGCGGGCAGAACGAATGAAGATGTCAAAGCCAGCCAGCCAGCCAGAATCGGAAAGGTGAGATAAGCCTTCATCAAACTGAAACCAGTTTATAAATCTTTGGCACTCAGCAGAAAGAACGAGATTCGGATTTTCAACACAAGTGTGAAGTCAGTCAGTTCCTCTACATGGGTTAGATACTTGATGAACCCGTCATGAAAAGCATTTCCAACAGCCTACTACAGAATTTCAGAAACATCTGACTTCGCTGGCTCCATATTAAAGATCAAATAGCCAGAAATAATCAGAAACACGAAAGTCTGGGATCCAACCAATCAAGAACCCATCACTCAACAAGTATGAGGACGTGAATGGAGATGCATGAAACACACACCGTGGAGACCACTGGAACTAGAATGGACAACGACATGCTGGGTGTATGTATGAGTGTGAAATGGAGGGGGTCGTGTGCGGAGAGACGAGAGATTGTGGGCAGTTAGGGGGCCTGCTGGAGAGGACTGTAGATAATGGGATGAAATGGAGTTGTGTTGGTGAGATTCTATGTTCCACTAGGAAACTGAGGGAACAATAGCAATAAAGAATACTGATATTATGTTTGCAATTAATATTGAAAGTCTAATGTATTTATCAGTTGTGTTACATAAACATTCATTTAGAATGAATAAACTGTCCTGAATCAAAATGTATGGTTTGGAAATCATGAGTTTATAAAGACATTATTCGAAGAAAAGATTAACAATGTATATTGATCAAATACAAATTTGACTTATAGAAGAAATGGTTGGTTGAAAATGGTGACATTTCCAATAAAACAATCAGATATTGAGAACCAAATTCCCATTTGTACTAACCATAATACGTAAGATATGAATAGGATTGAAGCAAACGACTTGTCCCGAGTTAACCTCAGCATTTTCGTCAGCATAAACAATATCTGAAAATATAAACGTTTTCAACCAACTGCTAAAAATTGCATGAATTATTTAATTAAAACGCTTCAGAAATGTTTATTTTGCCTAATGAACGAAAATACGTTTAGACCCAAATTTGTGTAATATGATGATGACCGATAGGTTGTGCTTTGAACGTCATCTAGCGTTAATGTGGTATAAAATCAGTGTGGTCTTTCAGTTGAAATCCAGATTGTTTTGCTGCTTACTTATGAAATGTATGCATTTACAGAAGGGAGGGTGGTTGCCACTCAAGACAATATCTTTAGTTACTAAAGAAAGGGAAGGTAGTTTTCACATAAGACAATATATCCTCTGTTACTAAAGGACATATCCCACCTCATCTAGAAAGTGTTATTATCGGTCACTGAGGGTCCCAAGTGGAACATAGTCCTTCAACATAAAATCTCTATCCCACACTTTTCTCGGTTACCCTCTTATTTGACTCCGTGATTTTCCAAAAACTCTCACCTCATCCTTATCACTGTTGAACTCCCAACCTGTCGTTACCTGTACGGCCTCCACCTGTGAAACTGGCACATGACGTCACTCACTTGTCTCCCCTGTGCGCATTCAGTACGTCTCCATTTACTCAGGAATATTTTTTGCCACGGAATTTGGCTGGTCCCCTGCACTGACAGACCTGTTTGTCGCCTACGCTTTTCAGCCGGACATATGATCTGCAACATCGAGACAGTGAAGACATGTAATGATGAAAGTGTGCAGGAGTCTGTTTAAAACGGTTTTCGTGTGACGCAAGCCAAGTCACTGGACAATATAGAAGTAGTGACTCATATTAGTTTTTCAAGTCCTAATCTTGTTCATCATGCTGAGTGCAGCTAACTTCATAACGGATTTCACATTATTGAAGGTCTTTCTTGGTTTTCCGATCTTTGCTTTGGCTTCCCAACCTGCGCTGCATATAGCCAAAAAGACGCTTCTTGAGTAAGAGAAAGAAGTGAATTTCTTCAAATTTCTCGCGTTGATGGTGATCAGTAAGTATCCTCATTATCTCTGTTTTCACTCCATCCACTTGAATTCCTGTATTCGGTGCTCTTTCTGCCAGCTTGTCAGTTTTCGCGTAGAAATCTTCGAAACTTTGTGTCAACAGTGCTTCTGGAAGAATTTCGTTTGGTCCTATGGATTTCACTACTTCCAGAAGCTATATGACATTAAAGACTTCTGCTTTTGTCCAAAGACTGATGTTCGCTGTCAGTTCTGCGACTGTCAGTGAGTTTTGAATAAGCTGTAGTTGGTGGTCGGCTCAGGAGTGCTCTCAACATTTCAGCTAACTGTTTCCTCTTTACCTACTCCTTTGTAATTAGATTCCCATGACAATCTGCGTTTATCTCTTCCAGGATAGACACCTAGTTATTTGACACGATGTCCTGAGATCTCTGTTCTGCTTGAGTTGTCAGTGTGTCGGGTAATTGGTATTTGTCCTTGCTAGCACTCTTCTTCACTTCTTTATTCAGCGCGATGCACACTTAACCCAGCTTCTCCTATTTCCTATCGTTGCATTAGTTCATCTATTTCACCATTATCCTCTCCTGCACTAGCTTTCATGTATCCTTAAAGAGCCATTCTCCGTCCTACGACGGCTATACAGGTCTCCTTTAATACCACTCTCAAGGAGTTTCAGTGTTCTTCCTTCGGTGATCATGCATAATGCGTCTGACTTTGTTCCGACAGCTGCGGTGAGTGTTTTGTAGTTTCATCATTGATTTCCTAGACAGTGTACTTGAATTTTAGTCTGTCTTCAACTACTTCAATGGCTTTCGACTTGACCTTGAATGTAATTTGCACTAGATAGTGGCATCAGTCCGCACCCACTCTTCTTCTTGATTCTAAGCCCAGTATACTGCTTCTTCACTCTCTTGAAATTGACATGAGGTCCGTCTGATTTTTTCCCATATCGTCAAATGCATGCTGCTTTGTGTATATCCTTGTGCTTGAACAGCGGAAAGTTCTCCGCTCTCATTCATTTCTCCAAGGACCTACTAGCTCATGATGAGTTTTCTTGTTTTGTCTGCTCTCAGCTTCAAATTCATGTCACCTATGAGGATTCTGATGTCCTCATCGGACTGTGGTCCCCTTCATTACTGTTTGCAGTTACCTGTGAAAGTCTCCTTTCCTCACTGCTGGGTTTGCGTTGTTCGTGCATCAGTAACAGGAAACAGGTTCGCACTTCATGAGTGCCTCCGGGATTCTTGGTGACACAATGATAGACGCTCCTTCAGAATGTTTGTGGTTGTTGTTGCCTGGGTTTCTGCAGTAAATTACCTATCCTTTAGTCAACATTTTGCAGAGTCCACTGCCATTCCATCTGCTCTCACAGATTCCTACCATTCCAATACAGTATCGACTCACTTGTTTTATAATCTGTGAAGTCTTTTCAGGCGCCTTCTTACGTGGTGAGGACAATTCATGTTCCTATGCTTATTTTTGCTTTCACTGAAAGAAGACACATTGACTGACTAGCTTCGTGAATGCTTTCACAGCTATGCATCACTTCGTCCCTTCAATTCTAGCGAAGAACAAGCATTTTTAGAATCTGTTTTCTGCTTTGAAGTTCCTGTAGCCATTGAAGTGATTTTCCTGGGGTACGTCTCTAGCCCAAAGCCTAAACCTTCCCTCCCTTCTGAACTTAGGAATGGATATTAAACTAGATGACTCATACATAAACGGTCGCCTTAGTTTTACCGTGATTATTTTGATATGTACGTAGATTAATAAAACTCTCTTATGTGTGTCAGATAAATAATACACACGATCACAGTAAACGTACGCGCTGAAGATGCCTAATGAGTTTTTGAAGTGTGATACAACACTTATTGGGGAATAAATATCTGCTGATTGTATCAGAAACCGCATTGCCCCCATCCGTTGCCAAAAGTACATTCTGAAGTCTTACGTCACTACTAAACGAAATTTCTACTCTAAAATATCTGAGAATGAAGTTAATTTAACTCTCTACGCTGTATTCAAACTGATAGCAAAATGGATTGATGAAATTCTAGTCCCTTTACTAAGTATAATTGCTAAACATTAAATATAACTTCATTAAACACGAGAGTTAAGACAATTAATATTATATATCTGAAGACTTACGACAGATAAACCCAGACCCAAAAAAGCACCGGATAAGATTCTGAGTTTTTCCTAGAAAGAACGATTAGACAACAAAATTCTGTGTAATTGCATCAGTCGAACGGTTGCAAAAATATCAAGATATCAAGTAAGCTGCTTAAGTGTAAGCACGACTGTGCTTGCCTCCAACCAAGTACAAATAATATGAAATTTTTTCAACGCATACCACTCTGATACTTCTTGAAGTAGATCATAACGTCAATTTCACTTGTTTCCAGTATTCTCTGAATATGGAAGTAGAATGATAAGAGAGTGTCACAGAAAATGACATGCTTTGCTATAAACAGAGTTCTTCATTTCCACATCAAGTCTTCCAAGTACGATAATTAACGAGTTCCAGAAAAGGGCTCCTTGATCAATGTTTAAAGATTCTATCAAAGGCCCTTCTTTCTGTCCTTCCGATGAAACTACTACCTTAAATACTCGTGAATTGATGTGCATAACTGGGAGTAACATGCTAGGGGTGCTTGACCATTTTTGACTTTCCAAATTAGCAGGACGTTCAAAGTAGAGAGATCATTTTTGTTGCAGGATACGTTTATTCACCTTACTCATACAAACTTCCCATATGGAGTGAGGTTGATTGAAAATTAATTGTCTGCTGACTGTAATTCTATCTGGTTTTCTACGTTCTTTCTTGACATTTATGCTGATACAACTTTGTAGATAGTTCAAGTCTTCATCAGTTTACTGAGGCTACCACAATAAAACTGCTGAAACTTAATCCGCATGTTCAAAAGTAATCATGGTGGGACCTAAATTGCCCTAGTAATCGTCTATGAATCAGAAACTTGTCATTGTAGGACAGAATGATCAATACGAAGGTCATTCAGAATATATTTGACTCATGACACACCTAGACACATTTATTCTTTTAATTCAGGAGTTTCTTCTGCACAGATTTTATTACTAATATGTCTTGATATTTTTTAAATCATGGAAAATTCCCATTGTAACACATAGAAAATCAAAACGAATGATTCTTTTCAACGAATTTATTATCAAGCTGTACAATCGTATATACATATGGTTTTTAAGAAGTTATATCCGGTGAGGGAATTGAAACATAGGTATGAATGCATGAAATAATAATAATATGAAATGCAATTAAAACTAAAATGTTTGTGATTATAATCGTAGTTAAATGTCAAGTGGCAAAGTCACGACCAATGGTCGAACATGAAACCTGGTTCGGTCGCTTGCCACTAACATTCAGCGCATATGTAGTCCTGATACTGTGGAGGATGAGTCAAATATTTTGAGTGAAATCGTCACAGAAAATGGATTTTGACTACGTTTTATAGACAAGAATATGCATTCAAATCCTGTGGAACGTGACTTATCATCCGCACCCAAGAAAATACTGTACATGAGCTGGAATTCAAAGCTGACTTAGCCTCCGATGTCATGAAAAGTAGGGTATCACAGTCCCTGAAAAGAGCATTCCCTGCTGCATCCCCGAGAATAGCCTTAACTAGTCGACCATTACTGTTCAATAACCTGAAGGACAAGATCCTGCTGTTGACCAACTCTATGTCTGTTTATCAGTTCACCTGCTCGTGTGGAGCTAGGTATATCGGTCGTTCGACTCGAATTTTGTCCAAGAGGGTGCAAGAAAACTATCCTGCAAGATTACGAAAAGGTGGATGTGGAGCAATAAGAATCGCGATCATTGAACATCTGGTCGATAATGATCACCATATCTTTATAGCCTCCGCCTTCAAAGTTATCTACAAGGCAAAGAGTAATCTACCCACATCCCTACGTACCCGACTCATCTGTATTGCTGAAGCTTTAACTATCGAAACAGAAAAGCCAGATCTCTGTGTACAGAAAAAGTTCGTTCAACCCCTCCAACTTTCATGGTCTCAATCCCTCTATGCAAAAGTATGGTAATCCCCAATCATATTTTAGCTCTACCAATTTTTCATTTTTGTCTATTCAATTTGTATACTCTTCCTTATGACGTCAATTGTTACTACTACTACTCTCACTTTGACCTGTCTCCGGTATAATTTCACTTGCTCCACTTGTCATTCTAAATCAATTCTGTTTTGCAACGTTTATTTCTATTTTATCAAATTTCACACAATGTTACGTAACGTTTTTATTTTATTCGATTTGTCTACTAATCCTATAATTTCACACATCTTCCAAGTTCTATCCATCCTATGAATTATTTTATATATGACATTAATTTGCTTTGCCACTTGACATTTAACTACGATTATAATCACAAACATTTTAGTTTTAATTGCATTTCATATTATTATTATTATTTATGCATTCACACCTATGATTCAATTCCCTCACTGGATTTAACTTCTTAAAAATCATTTATATACGATTGTACAGCTTGATGATAAATTCGTTGAAAAGAGTCTCTTCACTGAATCATTTGTTTTGATGTCTTGATATGTTTCGCGGAATGATGCTTTAACATCCTGCTTGATAGTGGAACTTAAATTAGTTTTAATAATCTGAAGGCGATTTATACATATTAAGTGTACTCACATGAACATAACTGGAAGCCATCAAGACTACTCCTATGATGAGAAGTACAATTGATATGATGGTGAATGTGGTTGTTCCTTTGTTATTTAAATTTCTAGATGTGAAACCTGACAGAATTGCGAATGCACCTAAGATAAATCCCACAGCCAGTGAAATAATAGCATACACTAATTCGATACTATTTAACAATATGGTTCCAGTAATCGATACCAAAGCAACCTAAAAGAACAAGTGAACAAAAAGAATGAAAGCAAATACAAAGAAGTGTTGACGTATTCTGAATAAAAAATATTCCACAGAAAGATAAAATATATATAAATGAACGTAGTAAGGAGATAAAAAAAGGTGTCGAGGGTGCTTTCGAAGTTATTACATCGATGAGTCACACGATCTGATGTTAGCAATATTAACATACTGCTTACATCAGTAAAATCCAATGCTACTAAGCCACAAACAAAGAAAAGTTACGCTTTCTATCAGGTAAATTATTAATCACCATAAATCCCACCAACGATTCTCAACGATTTTGACACACATATATCTGAATTCCAAGAGTTTACATATAGTCATACCTATATTGGAAACAGTGTTCAGTGTAATTTGTATTGAAACGAAAAATAAGCTTATCTTCGTTGTAGTGTACACATAGTGATTACCTAAAATATTAAAATGAAAGTGACCACAGAAAAATCCTATCTGAGCATCATGTATTCAGTTAGTTTCAACCAAAATGAGTAATATCAAATATTTTACAGAATATCCTTTTTTTCTAGTTGCTATGGTAACCTCACGTGCAAATCATGTTTTTCATAAGTAGAAACACAGCTATTTTTGTTCAACGAAAAAATTTCTTTTCAACGACTTCATTTTCAAGCTGTACAGTCGTATTTATATTACAGAAAAGGTTATTAAGTGGCACTAAATAATTGCTCAGTCAATATACATATATGTGATAAGAATAACGATAAATAAAATGTTATAAGGGGTAGAGTTGAAGTGGATAAATTACAAAATTATTAAAGATTGTTTTATAAGTGAATTGAAATCAAAAATGTTTTTAAAATGTTAAGTGTTGTCTAAAAATTTTAAACAATTAGGAGTACGATTACGATAAGAATGAAGATGTGAAGTGCAGTGGAAAGAATTCAAGTGGCAAAATAAAAACTAGAAAGAACATTACTATGACCAAGGTAAGGAAAGGGGTTTGACAAAACGTTTTTGAACACATAATTTAAGTTTCTGTTCATGTATAACTAAAGCTTTGGCTTGCATAAGTGAAGAGAACGCGAACTTTTGGAGCGAATCGATTTCGCCATGTAGATAACCCTGAAGGATGAATCACGTGGGGTTGAATGACCAGACTCTAACAGGTGATCACAAATAGACGACTTCGTAGTTCTATGTTCGCCTTTAATCAACCAAATCGGATAGTGTTCAGTTACACGTTTTCGGAGATTACGCTTACAACGTCCAATATAATCAGCTCCACAAGAGCAGGTAAAAGAGTAAATGCATATAGATGTGGACATAAGCGGTAATCTATCCTTGACGCATTGTCTAATCATATTTCGGCTGGTAAAAACTATTTGCAAGTCAGTTGCAGGAAAAGTAATTTTAATACATTTAGATAACCGAGTTTTAATCATTTCAGAAATGGTGTCACCTTTGAATGCAAGACTCATAAACAGCTTTTTCTTCGGCACTGTGGTTTGTCTATGGGCGGATTCTTTCTTGATGTTACGTTCAATAAACCTTGTAGGATAACCATTGTTAAGGAGATTTGATCAAAGGTTACCTAGTTCACTATCGATTGTCTCTGTAGAGCAGATTTTACGAATTCTGGAACATAAGGAATGAATAAGATTTCTCTTTCTCCCTAAAGGCACTAAACTGTTGAAGTTAGTGTATTAGTTAGTGAATGTTGGCTTTCGGTAAATCGACCTTAACAACGTTCCATTCTCTCTTCTACCTAGCTTAACGTCAAGAAAGTGAAACGAGGAATTCGACTCTTCTTTAACCGTGAATAGAAAAGATGGGTGAGAAACATTAAATATTCCAAGAAGTTCGGCAGTTGAAAAGTTTTCATCACAGACAATGAAGGTTTCATCTAAATATCTTTTATACATAAACAAACTATCGATAGTTTCCTTTAGTTGGCCATTCTCTAATTTATCCACTTCAACTCTACCCCTTATAACATTTTATTTATCGTTATTCTTATCACACATATATATGTATATCTATATTGACTGAGCAATTATTTAGTGCCACTTAATAACCTTTTCTGTAATATAAATACGACTGTACAGGTTGAAAATGAAGCCGTTGAAAAGAAATTTCTTCGCTGAACAAAAATAGCTGTGTTTCTACTCATGAATAAAATGGGTATTTTTCGTGATTTCAAATCATGTTTTGCATAAAACGTGAATTAACACTGAAGTCAAGTAGAATAACTACTACGTAAAGACTTTGAAAGCATATTATACAATAATGCACTTTGCAGTGGCAATGGTAAGGTTCAGAAGACGATTGAATTACAGAATAAACTCACCGCAGTTAAGATCATTAAAACATTATTGGGAAAATTGTAGCGAGCGTGTGTGTCCAAGTCAAGTATAACTGTTATTATGGCGACAATCACACTAAAATGTGGAATGAAAACATTGCTTTGAAATTTCGCATAATTTATACACAAACCATGTACGTTTATGATTTAAAGTGTCTTTGATATCGTCAGGAAAGTGCTGTAATGTACAGAGTATTTCCCTGTATACCCAACCAGCGTATTGTATGAAGACTTAACCTACTTCACATTAAAAGATACAAACAAATGACCGAAGTGTACAACGCATATATCTGTTCTCTATAGCACTCAACAGTGAATAAAGCCAGAAGGAACACAGAATTCAACATGAATGAACAAGCATATTCACTAGAACTAGTGAATTAAGCGGGGGGGGGGGATGGCACTTATGAACGAATGCCTATGCCAGTTTCTTGAAAATTTCCCTTCTAGTCAGTGATCTAAGGCTAATTAATAATTCACATTGTGCACATTCATAGATCAATTAAAGTATAATTATATTTCAATAGTTTACACACAATGATAAGTTTTGTTATTGGTAATATTTCGAGCAAAATTACCGCCCGTGTTCACACCACTGTTGGAATTGTTTGATTCACACATTTATGATTTGTACTCATATATATAGTTCATTATTTTTGTTCATTCATGTGTTTGTATTCAGAATTATATTCCAAGTTCTTGATAGTTGTACTGAGTCACCCTTGTTACATGTATCCGGTGTGACCTTAATGAATATCGATTCTGTTATAAGTCTTTCTTTCCATTTGTTCATGTTAGTTTTTAGAATACACACATTGTTCCAATCGATATTGTGGTTTTTTTCCCATGCATATGCAGCTATCGATGAATTTTTTTCAAGTAACTTGTAGGCTTGTGTTCCTGTTGGTTGACCTTTGGTTAGGCGTTTATGTTCATTCACTCTTATTTTGAGTGATCTGGACGTTTGCCCCACATATTTAGTCGGACAGTCAGCACAAGATATTTTGTAAATCAAGTTGTTTTTATCCATCATTTTTATGGGATCTTTCAGTTGATTTATTTTATTTTTGATTAGATTTGTCGGTTTGAAAGTTGTGTGAATACCGATATTTTCGAGGTTTCTTTGAATTGCCTCTGATGCACCATTTTTATATGGTATTGTGACTGTCTTTTTGCATTTTTCCATCTTGTTATTCTCCGGTTTTACCCTCTTTTTTCTCTTTTTTATATTATCTTTTATAAATTCTTTTGGGTAGTTGTTTTCGAGTTTTTGGAACAATGTGTGTATTCTAAAAACTAACATGAACAAATGGAAAGAAAGACTTATAACAGAATCGATATTCATTAAAGTCACACCGGATACATGTAACAAGGGTGACTCAGTACAACTATCAAGAACTTGGAATATAATTCTGAATACAAAATCACATGAATGAAAGTGTAATACAACTCAAATACAAAAAACAAAATTAAAAAAAAACATGAATGATCAAAAACAATGAACTATATATGAGTACAAATCATAAATGTGTGAATCAAACAATTCCAACAGTGGTGTGAACACGGGCGGTAATTTTGCTCGAAATATTACCAATAACAAAACTTATCATTGTGTGTAAACTATTGAAATATAATTATACTTTAATTGATCTAATCCACAATGCTCAAACTTTTTACTGATATTAATACATTCATAGATTTGAATCCTTCAGCTTTATAAATTGAACATTCGGTGATTTTTGTATTCAACCATAATCAAATAATAATAAATGTGACTTACATGGACACCAGCAGTATGATATCGATTAGATGTTCTCTTAAGCTTATATGACATAAAAGCAAAAAATTAAATAACGTTATTTCAAGTTACAATTCTAGAGATATCGGAATTAGCATCCTTTTGAATTATTATCCGAGAATTGCGTTTTAGAATGAAACTGAACAAAACTGTCCCTGTTGAAATAGAATGAAGAATAACTTTGATATAAGCATAAAAATATATACATATATTTAGAAATTGGAAAGTGATTGGCATGGATATTAAAATATTTGTGTCATGTCTAGGAAGCACCGTTTTAACCACAGGTGGGCGGAACGGATGAAGATATAAAGCAAGAATCAGAAAGGTAAGATACCCCTTCATTAACTCGATACCAGTTTGGAAGTCTTCTACACTCAGCGTAAGGAACAAGATTAGCATTTTCAACACCACTGTCAAGTTGGTCCTTCTATATGGTTCAGAAACTTGACCAGCGTGTCACGAAAAAGAATTTCCAACAGGTTGCAGACTTTCGTCAACAGCTGCCTCCTTCTCTGTCTCCATACTGAAGATAAAAAATGGCCAGCGAGAAAGAATAAGCAACAAGAAACTCTGGCTGGGAACAAACCAACCAAGAACCGATTGCTTATCAAATTTGTCGGAGAAAACTGAGATAGATTGGGCATTCATTGAGGAGGCCGTCGAATGACATCGCACCCCAGGCCGTCACTGCAGTGGAATCCTAATGGAAAGCAACGAGTGGGTCGTCGGTGAGAGAGTGACATGGGGGAGGTCGTGTTAGAAAGATATGAGAGAGTTTGGGCAATCGTGAACCCAGTTGGAGAGGATGGCAGAAAACAGAAGAAAGTGGACATATGTTGTTGAAGCCCTACTTTCCACTCGAAAAACAAAGGAACAATAATAATAATATGTAATAAAAACCAAAACAAGAATGCTATTCAACAGAAGTTAACATAAGTCAAACCACTACATCAAGCAGGAACAGAACTTAGTGTCTTGCAAAAGGATAGCTGCTCAAGTAATAACGTATGCTCGGCTAAACAAATTCTTCTGAAGAAACTGTAGCTTACCCAGCAAAACATTGAGAAAAGTCTTGTTTCAATTTTCTAAATACCCTTGAACTAATTTAAATATTTTTATTTAAAATTATCCAAGGTTTAAGATGTCTTTTTTTCTATATCTGCAAATAATTAATTTATCCACTTATAGAGCTGAAGTTTTAAAACTGCTAGACAAACTTGATGCTACTTGATAATTCACAAGAAAAATTTCGCATTACTGAATAAACTTCACACTACTGTACATTTTCCATTTCTATTCAACTACGAAATCTACAATCTGTAAAATGGAATACCTTTCGTAAAGTATGCGTAAGTTATTCTGTATGGGTCAGAAACTTGACGAACCGATCACGAAAAGCATTTCCAGCAGCCCACTACAGACTTTCAGCAACAGGTGACTTCACTGGCTCCATATTAAAGATCAAATAGCCAGAAATAATCAGAAACACGAAACTCTGGGATCCAACCAATCAAGAACCCATCACTCGACAAGTCTGAGGACGTGAATAGAGATGCATCAGACACACAGTGTGGAGACCACTGGATAACATGTACCTCCAGACCATCGAGTGGGATGAAATGGAGTTGTGTTGATGAGATCCTATATTCCACTCGGAGCCTGAGGGAACGATAACAATAATAATAATAATGCGTAAGCGCATATATATTTTCACAACTGACGTCTGAAAATATCCTGTCAGGCGGTATATTGTGTCACATTAAGGTGTTTGCCTGTTTATAAGTTTATTATCAATAAATTAATGGATTTCCACATTATTCGTTCGCTGAGAAGTATATTTGTGACAATAGTAACTCGTTTTGTATATCCCAATATAAAATTAAATCAACACAAAAACTCTCTAAACGGATAAATAAACTTACTGTTTTCAGCGTTTAACAATCTGGATACAGAATCAAGTTATTTCAGCATTTATTTGGATAATTGTGGAACAAAGTCTCCTACAGATATGTCTGTCACAGAAACAATAAGTCTTTGAAAGGATACTTTGCACTTCACTTCAAAGGACTCCTTATTCAACCCGTCCGATCAATTAATCTCGAGAAAAAAAATAAAGATAGTTCATAAGGGTGTATGCTAAGCACAACTAAGCAGTAATTTACTGGTGTTACTTGTACAAAGTCCTTCGTGCATGTGTTATGTTATCCAACTTTTAGAGTGCTCTAATTACTAGAATCGCGATGTGCTATTTAAAAAAAAAATTTTTTTCATTCGCTACTTTCTCAGTATAACATAGGGCATCAGGCAAGAGCTTTGAATTTTCTGTAGTAGTGGTGTTTATTTTACGGGATGGGGTTCCTGTGCTCATGCCCAACCTTCCCTCTTTACCAGTTTTATTACTGGCTTGACGAGGTAAAGGAGTGTGCTGGCCGGGGATGGAACCCCAGGCCACGTGAGGCTTGGTTGGTGAGCACTCTGCCCCTGTGCCCTAGATGCACATTGTCTTATTTGTACTTGAAATTAATACTGAACGTCCTCTTTCTTAAGTACGCTAGATCTGAATAGTACCTTTCAGCATAATATTTCTAACTAAAGAAGTATTGGTGTCAATTTGAGTCTTATTCTGCAGGTATTTCCAGATGAGGCCGTCAATCTTAGTAATAATACTAGTGGCAGATATGTACTGACTTGTTTATAACAAACATGAGTACTAAATTTTGGTGACTCATCACTCACATTCTCAATGAATTTGCATTCAACCCATTTGTTTTGATACCGTTTATTAATATGTATTTAGTGTATCCAGTCATTTAATGTGAGAAGTGAAAGGTCAACTAGCAATACCAGCTGAAATCGTGTGACATAAGCATGTAACTTATTCAGGATGAAGCCACCAGAGATGAGAAGTGAAGAAATATATATACTAACATTACCCTAAGTGATTAAGCCGAAAATACCGCCGAAATTGTCACACAAGGAAATGTCGAATAAACACTTAGTAAGGCCAACCGATAAGCTGAATGTGACTGAAGACTCAAGTTTCGGAATTCTGATGATAACAGTGATAATTTTGAGAATATATGTTAGTATAACAGATCACTCAACTGAGGGAATTCGTTTATGGTAGGCTAGAAGGCAGGATTTCAAGCGTTCATAAAATAAGAACACAATATTCAGCGAAGAGACTTTTTTCGACGAATTTATTATCAAGCTGTACAATCGTATTTGTATGGCTTTTAGGCAATTATATCCGGTGAGGGAATTAGGTCAAAGGTGTGAATAAATGAGATAATAGTAGTAGTATGAAATGCAATTAAAATATTTGTGATTATAATCATAGTTTAATGTCAAGTGGCAAAATAATTAATGTTGTATATAGAATAATACATAATGTGTATAGATTTTGGAAAGGGGTACATAATTATAAGATTAGTAGACGAATATAAAATGTTACATAACATGGTGTGAAATTTGATAAGGTAGAATTCAATAGTGTAAAAATAAAAACATAAAAATTAATAATTTCGGGTTTAAAATGTCAAAAAGGGGTCAAGTGGAAAAGATTCAGAGTTAGAATATCAATAATAATAATAATAATCGTAGTAATAAGGGAAAAGTACATAGAATAACTAAATAAACAAAATAAATAAATGTCTATTCCTCTACGGCCAGGGCAGAAGTAGGGATTGTACATACTTCTTTTGTACACAAAGGTCTGGCTTAAGGTCATGAATTGCCAAGGCCTCAGCTGTCTTTAGAAGTCTGTAACGAAGAAAACGCGGGAAGTTAGTATGGATTCTATAAATGATCTTGAAATCATGGTCAGGGTTGACAGTCACAGAAGTCGATGAGGTGTTCCAGAATAGAGCTTCGCACACATTTCCTTTCTCCCTTGTAAAACCATGCTGGAATATGTTCTCGTATCCGTGTGAAAGCGTCCTCGGACTACAGCCAATGTACCTTGCTCCACAAGAGCAGGTAAACTGATAGATGCACATGGAGGCGGCCAGATGGGGGAGCTTATCTTTTACAGAAGTAGAGAACAACCTGCGGCTAGTGAACTTCATATATAATTTTGCTGCAAAGAATGTCTTACTGACTGACTTAGAGAGACGATTTTTGAGCATATCTGAAGCTTGATCACCTTTGAATTCCAAGTTCATGAATAAGGGTTTCTTTGGAACTGAGTCGGTAACCAGTTTACACTGCTTATCGTTCATGTTGCTGTCAATAAATCGGTTAGGGTAACCATTTTCTGAGAACGTGGTTTTTAAGAAGTCAAGTTCTGAGTCAACGCAATCAGAACTACAAATATTTCTTATCCTAAAGCAGAGTGAATGAATTAGGTTCCTTTTCCTGGAAATAGATCTATCCATCGGAAACGTAGATGGAACGGACAACTAACTAATTTTTACAGTTGGGTGCCTATGTCCATATAACATTAATTATTTTGCCACTTGACATTAAACTATGATTATAATCACAAATATATTAATTGTATTTCACATTATTATTATTTTATGTATTCGCACCTTTGACCGAATTCCCTCCCCGGATATAATTTCTTAAAAACCATTTATATACGATTGTACAGCTTGATAATAAATTCGTTGAAAAGAGTCTCTTCACTGAATATTGTGTTCTTAATGCTACAATGGGAATTATTAAATTCATAAAATTATTTATTTTTTATTTTTATTTTATTATAGCTTGATTCCACACAGTATTTTGGTACAAGTATGAAATTTTCAGCATATGATATTGGTAGCCCAAATTTTGATGAAGAAAGTTGCACATTCACTTTCGTATTTAGAGTTGGATAACTGTACATCATACTACCATCCAGTTTCAAGTACTTACCCCCCCCCACTCCTTTTTCATGTACAATTCTCCATTCTTCAATGGTTTCACACATAAATTCCATTGTAATTTGAAATCTTACAACATTCTTTCGAGTTTCCCATCTTACCTTGTGATATACAAGACTGAACATGCTCCATCTTTGAAATTTATATTTTTTCATCACTGTCTTAGATATTCTGCTGTATTAGTGAATTACAAAAGCATATCTCAGTAGGTGTGTTTCCCTGCCATTTATCTGAACATACTGTGGGCGTGTAGAAGCTTTATTTAGTGGTCAACACCATGATGGACATCATGATTACGTGTCGAACTGAGTAATAATGAGAATTTAATAGTGACACCCTTCTAAGAAAAACCATTAACTTATATAAGTTTGGGTTTCAAAACTGCCTGTGACTTTCTTCAGACAAATGCATTATGAATCATAATTCACAAAATGTTGAAAAAATCACCCAGAAAGCTATCAAACTGATTCTTAATGCACCATGAATAAAATTGTCTCTGATGACGTCCTGCACACTGTTTGTGATTCTGAATTGAATGAAATCCGAAACAGTGAAATCCATTATCCCATTGTTATGCTCCTTGAAACATGCAGACAGGTTGTGTTGCTTGCAGATTATCATTAAAGGTTTTGTATTTCCCAGTGAATGAATGAATGAAAAAACGATATTATTTCCACTAACGTTTCACTATTAAATGCTTCAATGGCTTTATCAAACTATTATTAAACCAGAATTTACAAAACCTCAAATAATATATTAGCAACACAGTCATTGTTCTTCAGCATGAAATAGTTTTCATGAAAAATTCCCATTCGAACATTAATAGACAGAAGACAAATAGTTCAGCGAAGAGTCTCTTTTCGGCGAATTCATTTTCAAAGCTGCACAATCGCAAATATATGTGGTTGTTTTGTATGTGTGTACATTAAACTTGTCAAACGAAAATACAATTACTAAGTTCAGGTGAGTTGGATGTTAATATAAGAGGGTAGTATCAAAAGTAATGAGTTGTCACAAACGATTGTTGAAGAAGAGTTACGTGATAACATGAATAGTTTAATGAAAGAGTTGTACTCAGGGTGTACACGGAAACAAAATATACGGAATTACACAAGGGTTTTGAGTAGAAAAATAAGCATACAAACAAAAATTAAGTCAAGTCAACACAGTTGTTACCATGGGAATAGAAAAGGTTGAATAATTTTCTTTTGTATGCACAGTTCTGGTTCCTCTAGCTTAATGGCTAGGGCTTCTGCGATGCAAAGAAGACGTAATCGCACTGTGTTTGGACAGTTGTTCTTCACTTTGTAGATTACTTTGAAAGAGGCGTTTGTTGAGATGGAATGATCAGTGTTGATGAGGTGTTCGATTATTGCACTCCTTATGCAGCCATTACTTCCTTTCTGTAGCCACGCTGGATAGTGTTCTTTGATCCTTTTTGACAGGATGCGCATTGAACGACCGATGTACCTGGCTCCATAGCAATTGGTGAACTGATTTCTACACATAGAAGTGGTCAGTTGGAAGATCTTCTCCTTTGAGCTTTTGCAGATCCTTGGGCAACTGGAGAACACTACTCTCAGTGTTGCCGCATAGTAATTTCTTCTTGATGAAGTGGAAATTCCCCTATAAAGGAAATCACCTAGTAGGTCACCTTTGAAGTCAAGGTTCACATAAATTATCTTTTTTGGCACGGATGCTGTCTCTTGCTTTTGGATTTTTTGTTTGATGTTTTTGTCTACGAATCTTGATGGGTAACCATTTTGTATGAAGGTTTATTTCAGGAAGTTTAGTTCTTCTTCCATGGTATCAGAGCTGCAGATGCGTTGGACACGAGTGGCAAGAGACTTAATTAGGTTTCTTTTCCGACTGATTGGTACCCAGCTGTAGAAGCTTGTCAGTTGGCTGTTCCATGTGGGTTTTCTATGGATGGACCTTCTTAAAGTTCCGTCAGCTCTCCTTGTAAGTCCAACATCAAGAAAAGGGATTTCAGATTCGTTTTCAATTTCAAGAGTGAAATTTGTGGCTGGATGGCATTAGTTGAATATTTGCAGTAACTGATTGAGATCGTGGCCGTCATCGCATAGTTTTTATGATGTCAAATTAGTTAAAATAACGAAACCATGTGTAAATCGTTGGATCTGATAAGCGTATAAAATTATAAAAACAGCATGTGTTTGCATAGTGAAATTGCTTATCACATTCGTGTTGATTTTGTCACTTCTTCATCGGGAGGGTGTGTTGCCATCAGGTCAAATTCTGTTTTAGTCCATCATTCCTACTGAGACAATTTGAATTCCACTTGATATGAAGTGCTTCTTATATATTAGACGTTCTTTATGATCTCTGAAATCTTTCTTGATGATGATTTCAATGTTGTCAAAATCAATTTTGTAGCCTTATTGTACAGTGTGGTGATTTTTCAAGCTTTCCTAGTTCAACTGGATTACTCGGTGGTCGAATAGAGGCTTTGCGGTGTTCATTTCTTCTTATCGTAACTCCATGCGAGGTTTATCTAGTGTACAGCACACCACATACCAAGCAGTGTATTTTATAGATACAACTAGATTTTCTATAGTTTGGATGATGTCAGTTAGAGAACCATTGAAAACCAGGGAGAACTGGACAGCTGTTTCATCCTAATTGGAGAATCAACCAAAGTACGCAACCACCACCAGGGTTCGAATCTAGGACCTTCCGGTTACAAGGCAAGCTCGTATACCATTCAGCCACTGGGACCCAATTCAATGGCTCATGAATTCTAACTTCTACCTATTCGTGATTTAGCGCGGCCCCAACCAATGTCGTTGGTGGGACATCCATCCTCACACGTGACATCTGAGTGAACCTCACTGGTCATGACTTCTCACTAGAACTTCAGGAAACTCCATCCTGTAGCAAGTCACTAGCGAGCATCAGATTAATTTTCTATAGTTTGGTTT